ATCCTTAGGAGATGGGGGATGGAACAGCAGACAGTACTACACAAAATACTACTATTTTGTGTAGTAGTATTATAAGTAGGGCTGACACTACTGAAAGTTCTCCCTAATATTTGCTGTCTTTTTTTTTTTTTTTCCCCCCAGAAAACAGTTAGGAACAGAGTTTGAGATTCTCCTTTTTGTTCCTAATTGCCTCATCTGCTGTGTAGAGATACAGATTCCTAAGACAAAGATAAGATCCAGGTTTTGAGGAACCTGGTCTAGTGGAAGGTGTCCCTGCCCATGGCAGGGGGGTTGGAACTAGATGGTCTTTAAGGTCCCTTCCAAACCATTCTGTGATTCTATGATCCTCCTTCATCTATGGGAAGTGATTTTGGCACAATTACTCAAACATCTTGATCTGAAAAGGGTGAAAGCCATTTCTCCTCACGAAACTTTCCTACGCAGGCACCCTGGGTGAAGGACCATGTGGTTGGTGCTTGACATGACTTGCACATAGGACCTTTGACATGGTAAAAATTAACTATCAATCCTTGTTTCCTTGAGGAATCAGGTTGAGTAACAATAACAGTTGGTAGGCAAGCTAACCGCAAACTCGCGGCAAGTTGTGAAGTAACTGCAACTTGTGTAATTTTATTCCCTCTCTTTTCTGCTTTATGTCCAGAAGTTCACAGATAAACCAGAAATTCAGTTTTATTTTTTTCCTACTGCAAAATCAGTTCACATAAAAATATGCAGAAAAAAAGAAAGCTATCTCAGTTACCAGAGCATGCATTTAAGGGAAATAACTTGTAGGCATGTTTTCACATGCATATTTATGTGTGTCTGTGCCTGTATGCACATATGTTCACTTCTGTTTGCTTAAGAAATTATCAAAGCACTGAAAAAACTCACATCACTAGTAACTGAACTGAGGAACAAATAAGCATTTCAAATATTTCAGTTTAGTTTTGATACTAAATGACCTGTAAGACACGGTGTTATTTGCAGACATCTTGGTCAATTAGAAACATTGGTCACTCAAAACAGCAAACATATTATAACCTATTATGATGTACTCCAGGTGTCATATTATGAAAAACATGAACGATGTTTGCTTGTTGACTGCAGTGAGATGAGGGACACCAACCTGGTCTAGTGGAAGGTGTCCCTGCCCATGGTAGGGGTAGATGGTCTTTAAGGTCCCTTCCAACCAAACCATTCTATGATTCTATGTAAAATAAAATGTGACCTGAAAAAGTATTTAGTATCAATGTCTTCAGATAGTTATTGTTTATATCAGCAAGTTACTTGTTGCAATGGAAGATCAGTAGATAAGAAAGGATCACTAGACCATAGCGACTGTGTTGAGGTTCCTCAGTTCATTATATGGATTTATGAATTCACTTTGACTTGCATTTTCCTTTTGAATAAACCACCAAATGATGCCTGTTGGAGCGGGTGTTTGGAGACCATCTTGTCCATCCACCTCTCCAGATAGAGACAGTTTCAAGAACAGACCAGGTTGCTTAAAGCTTTGTCCAGTTGAGTGTGAATATCTTCATAAGGATTGATCTTCTGTAAATTCTCTGGGCTCCCATTCCAGTGTTAATGACCCTTATTGTGAGAGGGGATTTTTCTTATATCTAATTGGAATTTCTGTCATTGTAATTTGTGTCTGTGACCTCTCACCCTTCCACTGAGCACCTCTGAGAAGAGTGTGGCTCCATCTGCCCTATAGCTAAAATTAGGTAGTTTTGAACAGCAATTAGGTGACGCTTAGTCATCTCCAAGCTGAACAAAATTGGGTCCTTCAAACTCTCCTCAAATAGGTGGTCTCCTAGACCAAATTTTCCAGCTTTCAAAAAGAAAGAAACATTAATTACACTCTACAGAACCTTAAGATGGTGAGCCCACACATTGCTCTGTGCCCCACTAGGCACTGGAGAACCTTCAGAGTACCTTTGGAGTGCCTTCAAAGCAAAACTTCTGGTTCACTTTCTTCCTAAGGAATCTAGGTTGCACACCTAAAAATCCCTCTGCAAATCAAAGCAGTGTGAAGTCACAGGGCACCATCGGGGGATTACTTCAAAACTGCATTAATGCAGTTGTAGACTTCACAGTGGATCATAGAATCATAGAATGGTTTGGGTTGGAAGGGACCTTAAAGATCATCCAGTTCCAGCCCCCCTGCCATGGGCAGGGACACCTTGCAGTAGACCAAGTTGTTCAAAGCCTCATCCAGCCTGGCCTTGAACACTTCCAGGGATGGGGCATCCACAGCTTCTCTGGGCAACCTGTCCCAGTGCCTCCCCACCCTCTCCCTTCTACCTAATATCCAATCTAAACCTCCCCGCTTTCAATTTAAACCCCCCCTCCACGTCTCCCCTCTGTGTCCTTCCTGAAGAGCCTGTATCCTTCCATTCTGACACTCCAGTCATAGGAGCTGTCCTACCACGTTTCCACGATGCCAGTGAGGTCACAGCCCCTCACTCACACTCACGCCTCCAGCTCCTCTTGCTTATTCCCCATGCTCCGTGCGTTCGCATAGAGGCATTTAAGGTGGGCTCCCGATGAAGCTGGCTTGTGGACTGGAGCATCTAGTATTTCTCTGTTTTGCCTGCCAGGTGTTTTCCTGGTGAGCAGTGATTTTTCTCCAGCTCCAGGCATCTCTTTGTGTCCCTACTGGTTTTGTCCCCCTCCCCCTTCCAACCTGGTTTAAAGCCCTATCAATGAGCCCTGCCAATGTGTGGTCTAGAATCCTTTTTCCTGTCTAGGATACTGCTCTGGAAATGTCAGTGTTCACTCATGGTCAAAAAGGGATGGCAAATGTTAGGAATTGAGGGGGAAAAAGGAGAAGAAAAGTAAACAATAAATATGATGAAGCACTATATTAATCCAAAATGCATTTTTGACATTGCATGCAATTCTATCCAACACATTCCCAAAAGGATGTAATAGAACTGAAAAAAAAAAAAAGATAAACACACAACAGGAATGATCTACTGAAACAGCTGGATCCATTTGAAAACTGATCTGACAGATGTGTTTGACAGAATCCCCCTTTCATTGTGGGAAAATAGGGCAGTGTAAGAAAAGACCACGGCATCAGTCGTGATGTAGAGAGATGAAGATGGAATAGAAGATCAGCCGGAGTCATGGAAAAATGCTCTGCAGCCTGAGGGCCCAGAGACAGCCTCTGGCACTGGATTTCTCTAAACTGATGTATTTTCCATCAGCTCAAAGGGTGTACAGGGTCATAACAATGATGCACTCACCCTATTTCTATACATCTTTTGCTCTTTACTTTGGCATCCTTAGTGGCCAGTGGCCAATGGATAATTGGTTTATGTCCATTCTGTATTCTTATATTCTGTATTTATGGAACAGAAAATAACTAGGAGTGCAGAGAAGCACGCAGATGTTTTACATTGCAATGGATTATGTGTCTTCTAAGCAAGGAGATACATAATCAACATATGTCCCAAGATGTTTGACACATCCCATGGTGGTTTAACGTATCTTACACAAACTGGAGTGTCACAAGACGTGTTGCATGAATAACTTGGGATTTTCCAGAAGAAAAGCTTCAAGAGGTTCAGAGAGAAACCTTACTTTGTCACTGGGAAAGGAAAAGCATGTTGATTCTGGTTGGATTAGAAGTCACCCCAAAAAAAAAAGGTAATTTTTTGATTGGCTCACTGTGTACTTGCTGAGAAAGCAGTTGTCACTCCCCTTAGGAAACACATTATAAAAGAGGGTCTCAGCCCCACTGCCAAAGCCCCCTGAAAGAAAGGGATCAAGAGCAGATCTTGTTTGGCTTCTGGGCTCACCTGACACCTGGTAACTTCTCTGTTCTTTTAAGTCTTTCTTTCAACAAAACCCCAAATGTCTGCATTATTGACCTAAATCTGTAGGTTACTAAAAAAGGTTAATCTAAGTTTTCCAAAAATTTCACAGCTTGAATAAGTGGATCAAATGTGTGCTAACACCTAGAATACTTTGATAAAAGTGCTCTGCTTACTAACCCCTAGGGAAAACATCTGCCTGGGTCAGGTTACTTCAGAGAGGTCTGTGGTCCAGAGAAATTGGTGGTTTCATTGATGGTAACCAGTATATACTCTTTACCTATGTCTCTCTGTTAAGAACTTTATTTCATTTTCAGAATTGTTAAATTTGCCTACTTGTTTGTCATTATATTTTCAAGCATACAGAAATCTGTGTAAACTTCTAATACTAATTTCAAAGCTGTTTCAGGTCACCCTCTACCATTCTGTTTGCAGAAATATGACATTTCAGCACAACCTCATTTCCCTTCCTTGCTGAAGATAACATAATTTGGGGCAGATCAGAAGATTCTCTAGTGCCGAGATACATGACATTATCTACCCCCTATTTTTCCATAAGCCTTTTTCTAGGCTCTTTTTTTCCCATTTTGGTGATATTTGTTCAATTATTAACTCTTTCAATGGAGGTATTATGTTTGTTTTTCAAATTTCAATTGTCAAATGGGAACAGATTTAGTTGTACATTTTCATTCTAGAAACTGCTGCCTGTGGACTAGGACTGAAAATTTTGAACAAGCTGATTTTAGCTGTTATTTCTTGATAAATTTTAACATTTCAAAATGAACACTTTTTCTGAGGCTTGTAAGTTTGACTGTACAATCACCTCATTTTGCTTAGTGTTGTTTATTTATTAGATAAAAACATTTAACTAAAAATCAAGTCATGATTGCACTTCGGCTAAGGATTATTTGCAAAATGTGCTGACCAATCAAACTATTAAAATAGCCTAACAATCATATATCCTGAAAGTATGTTGCTCCATATATACTTACTTTTCCCAGAAATGCTCACACAGCAGTCATGATGTCATATAGGTCTTCTGGCTATTTCTGAAATGAGAAGAAAAAACCAATATAAAAGCCATTTTGATTAACCCAGTATTTATACAGTTCAAAAGACTGTAGATCCCAGGAACTGTCACACATCTTTCTTGATCCTTTTCCAAAAAATCCAGTCATGAAGATCCTTTACCTGCTCTTTTCTCTCCTCTTCTTGGCACTTCAGGTTTCTCCAGGTAAGATGGAAAAGAGGTGCTAGAAGGGTATTTTTGTGTACTTGGAGTAAACTTCCCAGCACATTTTAATCCCTACTGGTTAAAATCATTAGAAACCAAGCAGGAGTTAATCAAATAACTCAGTGCCTATGCTCTCCTATTAAAACTCTTTCAAAGGTGGAGAAATTATGATTTCTGAAGTGAAGTGATTTTTCACTTCTGGTGTCTTCCTAAAAATTCATGCTAAATGTGCTGGTCTCTGTGGTGGCCATGATCTTGGATAACAGCACACTCAGCACTGCATATGCATGTGAAATTGAGCCTGGCCAACTATTTTCAGAAAGGAGCCAGTATTAAAGCCTCTGGACCCATAATCCTTTTCCATAAGGTAAAGGACAATGTGGCAGGAGGTCTGTAGCATTCTCCACCTGGACTTTAAGATGTAGAGCTGCTCTGTAATCTCACCTCTTGCATGGCCTTTCAACATGGACATTTCTGGGCCAAGAGTCCTTCAGGCACGTTGGTGGTGAAGGCAGCCCAATGGACGGGAATTCCCGCTGCCATTGCGACCACATTGCCCTGCCCTGCAGGATGAGAGGGAACGACATGTTCTGTTATTGTTGGCAGGTTTGTCTTCACCCAAGCGGGACATGTTATTTTGTAAAAGAGGGACCTGTCACTTTGGAAGATGTCCCTTCCATCTGGTTAAAGTTGGAAGTTGCTTTGGGTTCCGCTCCTGCTGCAAACAGTGAGTTTGACATTCACCAAGGCTTATCTGCACTATAGCAGACAAACCTACTTTGCCTCTGTTCTTAACCCCAAGGTGCTATTAAATGTTCAGATTGGATATAAAACAAAAAAGGTATAACGCCATGAGAGCAGTCAAGCTCCGGAGTGCTCTTTCTCCTGAGATGTGCTCCATGACCTGTCCCAGCGAGAATGATGAAGTATGGTCAGGTGTGTCAGCCTTGTGCTGTCCCAGCTATCTTTGACCCCTTTACCGCTCCTGTGCCAGAGCAGAATATCAGGTTTGGTATTCGCAGAACCGGGCTGATGTGCTGTATGGGAAACAGAGGGGAAATTGGTTACGCTGCAGAGTGAACACAGATCTCTGCGTGCCATCAAACATGTGCAAAAAGTGCAACAGTGCTGTAAAAATAAATTATCATATGAAAGGTAGCCTTCTATTTTCACTCAGGAATGAATGCGTTCACTCCAGTATCAAGGGATATCAAGTTAATTCCCTGCTTTTCCTAAAGCAGTAGGAAAACAATCTTCTTACTCACAGGTATGAGTGCACAGGGCCATCCCATCATGACTACACATGACATCAGGCATTTGGGAAAGTATTTATACCTAAGAGGAAAATATGCATGGGCGGAGAATAAGTTGGGAGGGAATACAAACAGAAAGGGAATCTGAATCTTTTCTTTTTTTTTCTGCAGTCCATGGGATGTATAAAACCTTCATGGAGTGTCCATTCAAGAGAGATGAAAATTTCTTCTAAACCTAGGAATTTCCTTTGAATCCCCTTACTTCTAAAACCATGGGTTCCTGCTGCAAAGCCTCCTTCACCTTTAATTTTTAATGCAAAAAGCTTTATGACGCAGAGTTAATCCAAATGTATTCTGTATTGCTTTCCCTCCTTTTGAATAAATTGTTGTTTCTGAGCATTCACATCACCATGAGTGTCTGTTGCATGGGCTGAGGGTTGCATGAGTGTCTGTTGCATGGGCTGATCCTACCTGGGTTTTGGCACACAAACCCCAGAAGGCAACAATTTACAGTGTCAACTGCTTGTTAACGTGAGCTTTTCTGAGACATACAGCTGTCCAGGGCTAGACAGACATGGACTGAAGACCTTACCCTCCAGTACCAAGAGATAGGCTGGCTGGAATAACTCAGATTCTCTTTGAGGGAATGTGTTTAGATGCCAAAATCCCTTTTTTCTTATTCTACAGAAATCTTTTCTTGGGGAAAAAGAAACAGAAATGGCTAAAAAACAGACAATCACCATTCATTAAAACGTCAGCATGTGAGAGAAAATGTTCTGGCTTCTGGAAGATGCGTGTGAGCATCCCCGGAAAGATTTCTTTTTTTCCTCTTTT